CCTTCTTTGATTTAGGGTATGATCCTGCAATGTCTACAGCAATCCTTTCAAAAGGAGCGCCGACATTGTGGGCCTGCATCGGCCCACGGAGGCTTCTTTTGAGCCCTTTTATATCTGCACACCTGGTGCAATTCAGGTACTAGCTCTCTACGTCCTCACGGGCGCAAAACTAATGAAACTTCTTTTGAACCCTATCTTAAGTTTTGTTGACTCCCAAGTGACCTCCAGACGATCCACCGTGCATTTCTTTAAAAAGATCAGTTGTTTTATTACTGGGTATCACTGTTTGCGGCGTGATGGCCTAGTGGTTAAGGTCGCCTGGTGCTGTTTCGCAGTACCGGGTTCGAATATGACAAAAAGATCCACGCCTATCACATGCTTCAATCTGCCAGTACCCGCTTTTCAGATTTTAAGTCGAAAACCACAGAGAACTGGATAAGGTATCCATTATATTGTCAATCCTTGGAAGCGGATAGCTATCTTTTTTGGTGGCCGCATTCAGTTTTTAGTAGTCCACGCAAAAGCAATTACTACCATTTTTTTTCATGACTAGAACGACTGGAGATGTCCAGGGACTTGTCGATGGTTCGATCGCGCCTTGCTTTTGGATCGTAGAGATCATCTCATCGGATTCTACCTGCTTTGACAGTGGAAGGCGTCGTGGAACTTGTCTGATAAGTTTGCAATTTTGAGTGTCTATACTGTTAAATACTAGACGTCTTCTCTATTGTTCGTTGTTGCCGGTCGAGAGTATATCCAAATACTTGACTAACAGTGTCTCGGCCTTCCTTCGTTCTTCTTCGATGAAGATTGTTTCGTCCAATAGGTTGTATTGAAGGCTTTCAATGTCTTTGCAATTCTTTTCCCCCATACCATTTTTTAGTTCTACGTCAACACTTTTTATGGTATTTATTGGCTGGGTGCTGCCAATCACTCTGCCATCCTTTATTCTTATTGCATTTTCCAATACGTTCAGTATCTGGAACGGAATTCTGCCGCTTTCGTTGATCTAAACCAGGAATTTTCTTCCAGCAATGATATTTGGTATTTTGGACGTCGGCGTAGATTCCACGAGGACAGTTTGTGTTAAGTTATATGTTTTATTTTAAAACATTATGATACACATCGATTTGTTTGGCTAAATGTTCTTTGCTTTGTATATAAATTCTCTTTTTGTTGTTTCGGTTGATAATAAACGAGTCAATAACGTTTCTAAGTTTATTTTTTTATTTTAATGTTTTTCAATATTATATTAATATAAATTTGTTGAACGATCTACGTTACAAGATAGGTTATGGGCCCAGATAACCTTTTTTTAACGAATAATTGATTTGACGAAGAAAATTTAGAATAAAGAAATATCGGAAGATTTTCTTTGAAGACTGAAGTGAAGAAAAAACAGGTGCTTTTTCATTCTCTTGAAGCCGATATTTTGCTTCTAATTGAAAAGGTCAAATTGAAAGACAAAGAAGAAATGGATCTAACAAAAGTGCAAATCAAACACCAAGAAGGCAAAAGTATTTGGTTGAACTGTAAATCAAAAGTTTGTAAAATACCACGCGGCATTCGTGACCTGATGCAACGGGCGTAGTATATAGAAAATTAAAAGGTCCAGATGAATTAAACGATGACTCAAATGAAGATGAGATAGCAAAATATCAAACTGCTTTGAACAAATTCAATAAAGCAGATTGTAATGCTTTGATAATTCTGTCCGATGAATTATGACCGATGAAACGTATGAAAAAGTTCGTTCATTCAGTAATGCCAGAGATGTTTGGTTAGAACTTCACAGATTGTATGATGAAGTTAATGAAGATAAAGCATACAACTTATGCATCAAGTTTTTTAGTTATAAAATGGATGTAAGTGATGATGTTGTCACTCATGTTACAAAGCTCAAGAATCTTTGGAAAGATTTAAAGGTTGAGCTAGGAAAAGATGAAAACACCTAAAAAACATGTTAAAATGGTCATGAAATGTGAACTAAACATCGATAGTGTAGACAGTGAAGAATGTGTCTATGGAAAGTTACATCGATTGAAATTTGGTACTCGAGTAAACGCATCAAGACCAGAAAAATTTATTCACACTGATGTATGTGGTTTTTTTTGCTTCTCATTTCAAAATTTTAGATACTTTGTTTTGTTCAAAGATAATTTCACAGGCTACAGATTTGTTTACCTTGTAAAACAAAAATCAGATGTACCAGAAAGAGTCAGACAAATGCTTGCAGAGTCAAGATCAGCTGGTCATAAAGTCTTAGAAGTATTAAGTGACAATGGAGGTGAATTTGACAACAAAGAAGTCAGATCACTTTTGCAAAAAGAAGGAGTTAGACATCGCTTAACTATGCCTTATACACCTCAACAGAATGGTTGCAGTGAGCGTGATAATCGAACGTTAGTTAAAGCAGCAAGAGCCATGAGACTGGCTCATGAAGAATTGCCTCAGGTCCTTTGGGCTGAATTAGTTAATACTGCTGCTTACATACTCAACCAAACTGGACCATCTTCTGTAGAAGGAAAATCCACATATGAATTGTGGTTTAACAAGAAACCTAAGATAACACATCTACGAATCATTGGTAGCACAGCCAATGTTCATATTCCTATGCAGAAACAACGAAAAATTTATACTAAAGCTGTAAAGGGTATTTTGTTGGATATGAAGGTGACGATGGCTACAAAATTTTTGTTCAGCCAGGAAATAAAATGCTTCGATCAAGAGATGTTATTTTTGATGAGAAGGTTGTCAAACCAAATTCAATGATTTTGCAAGAAGAAAGTTGTTCAGATGATACAGTTTAGAATGATGATGAAATCAAAAATGATAATAAAGAAACTTTGATTAAAAAAAATATTTCAACTGATGAAGATGTTCACAACTGTAGATCAATCTAATTGTTGTAATCAAAAGATCAAAGGTATGGTTTTACGTGACAGGAATAATATCAAAAGGCCATCTCGTTATGATATTTTTGTTATGTCTGCATTTTTTAAAAAACTTGAACCAGAGAGCTACAAAGATGCCATTCAAGGTGATGAAAAAGATGAATGGTTTAAAGCCATGAACAGTGAAATGCAGTCATTCGAGGAAAATCAAACCTAGGATTTGGTAAATCTTCCAAAAGGTCATAAGGCAAATGGGTCTACTAAGTAAAACACAATCCAGATGGTTCTGTTAAACGTTATAAAGCCAGGTTAGTGGTAAAAGGTTTTTTTGCAGAAAAAGGTAATTGACTATGAAGAAACCTATAGTCCTGTGGTCAGAAGTTCAACTATAAAAACACTATTAAGTGTTGCTGCAAATGAAAAGATGTCACTCATGCAGTTTGATGTGTCTCCTGCATTTTTATACAGCAAACTAGATGACGATATCTACATGGAGCAACCTGAATGTTTTAAAGATAATTCAGGAAAAGTCTGTAAACTCAAGCGAAGTCTCTATAGACTTAAACAAGCTCCAAGATGTTGGAACAAACGCTTTACTGAATTCTTGAAAAAAAACATTTCAAACAAAGCGATGCAAATACTTGTTTGTTCATTAAAATACCTGATGGAAAAAAACTCATACTTGCACTGTATGTTGATGATGGAATAATTGCAAGAACCGATAAAGAAAAACTAAAAAATTTTGAAAAAGAATTAAAGTCAGAATTCAAGATAAGATCTAAACCTGCAACATATTTCCTCGGATTAGAAATTAATCAAGATGAGAAGGAAAATATGAATGTCAACCAGTCATCGTATACAAGAATGATTTTTGAAAGGTCTGGGATGAGCCAGTGTAAACCCTGTACAACTCCGATTACAAAATCTGAGGAATTCGATGAAGACAAAAACGAACACGAGAAAGTGAAATTTCCTTACAGATCAGCAGTTGGTGCATTGATGTACTTGATGACGGGAACATGACCAGATATTGCATATTCAGTTGGAGTAGCATTCAGAAGTTTCGAAAACCCTAACAAGTCCAATGTAACACAAGTCAAACAAATTTTCAGATATTTGCAAGGCACAGCTAATGTCGTAGTGTTTACAAGTCTGGTCAAAACAATGCACTAATAGCCTACAGTGATGCAGATCATGGAGGAGATAAATCTAGTGGAAGATCGCTATCAGGTGGAATCTGTATGTTTGGAGGAAGCGTGATCAGTTGGTTTAGCCAACGTCAACTCTCAATTGCGATTTCAACTACCGAAGCAGAAGTCGTTGCCGCAAGTGAAGCAGCTCGTGAAGTGGTATGGCTCAAACGATTGTTGAACGTCATAGCAGATCTAAAGAAAAAACTAGAAGTTTTTGTCAACAATGAAGCAGCGATTCGTTTAGCACATAATCCAGGACTTCACAAAAGAACAAAGCATATCCACATTAGACATTTTTTGTCAGAGAAAAGGTTGCAAAAGAAAAAGTTTCAGTTGAACGAGTTGCGACAGAACTTCAAATTGCTGATGCTCTGACAAAACCAATGGTAGGACCAAGACTTAAAAATCTGATGTGTGTGATGGGTTATTTATGTTAAGGTCATCTAATGTTTTTAAATAAAATGAGAAGGCGTTAAGGTTTATGTTGAAACATTATGATAAACATCTATTTTTTTGGCCAAATATCCTTTGCTTTATATTACCATATCACCATCGACCGTTACCTAGGCACATATTGGCTGACTGTTTCCCATCACCACTTTCGTGTTATTCCATCTTAAGACGCGTTTTTCCAGATCTAAGTGGAAACCGTACTTCATTATCAAGTCGATGCCCAAAAGGCATTCGTCGGTAATGTCTGCCACCAGAAACATGCTCTCAAACTCCAGATCTCCCATTTCTACCGTGCAAGATACTTTCTCGTACACAGGCGCCGTTCCTCCGGTGGCAGATCGAAGTAGGTACTTGCTAAATTTTTCTTGTTATAGATCCATTGACATACCTCGTCGAAGAATAGATCTAATTGCTCCTGTATTGATGGTAAATGAACATTTGCGTAGATCTATCTTTCCTTCTACCCAAAGGTCATCTCGGTCACGATGCAGCCTTGAGACATGAATAATACTGCTTGGGGCGTTTGTTTTTCCAGCCAACTTAAACCCGCCCCGCAAAGTTGGCTGTCATTAGATTTCTGACGTATTAGCTGCATACGTTCTAAACATGGGGCTTGATCTATCCACAAGTCGGTTTTTTCCGTATTGTCCCCTTGATAGACATTACTTTTCTGGGGCCTCTTACAATATATCTTACAATACCCTTTTTCTACAGTTCCATTTTTATGGTGGTTTGTAGTCTCGTATTGATGAGGCAATCCTTCGATACTCATTTTCTTTGTGGATTTTCCGTTTTTTTGTGTCTTTAACACTAGCTTTGCAAATTCGAGGGTTTAATACTGCTCAAGAATTTTTTTAAGTGTAATTAATTGTGATATTGTGAGATCATATTTCATATCTGGGTCCAGTAGGGCTTGAATAAATGCATCTTTTACCGTTCTGTCCTTGAATTCCGGGGCATCTGTTGGCTGCGCTAGCATGACCAGTTTCTGTCTTGTGCTAGTTTTGGAGCAGTTTCTCCTTGTTTCTGCATACGGTGGTCAAACTGTGTTAAGTAGAGGTTTTCAGTATACTTGTTTCCATAGCGTCGATCTAACGCGTCGGTTGGAATCTCAAAATTGTCACAGTCTTCGGCAGGAATGGATTGTAATACCTCCAAAGCGGAGCCTCTTAGTGCTAACACTAATGCCGTCGCTCGTTCTCTCGCGCTCCACCCGTAGCTTTTATTAGAGCATCACTTAGTCGGTTTGTCAAAAATGTCTTCGCTTCTTTTGAGTCGAGGCTTTTTTGTCGTAGTTCTTTCTGTAGACTAGTTGTATTGAGCTTTTCTAGCGCTGGCATTCTTTACAGCAAGAAGTTTCAAGCTATCAAAAATCTAACTTCTGGCACCAATGTTGTAACCCTTGACCTTGTAACTACCAACACCAATGTTATAACTTCAATTATCTCTATATTTCCAGCACCAATGTTGTAGCTTCCAACGATCGTCAAGTGTTCATTATTCCATTAGTACAACATTTCTGATAGATGAACACAACAGAAACAATAAACTAATCTAAATAACTACATAAATCACATTTACAACTTCGCTTTCCCTGCTGGAAAACTTGACTGTAAACCCGACACCGCAGGGTGTATATATAGGCTAAAGATTACAAATATAGCAAAGATAACAATTATCAATAAATAATATAGCGCAATTCAATCATTCCCACGGTTATAACAATTCATAGAAATACTATTTAATCTAATGACAAACAATTTTTTTAAATATCATGCAAGAAAATTAATAACGTGACTAATAAAATTAACATTAGAGAAGCACCGAAGGTTCGGCCTGATCAAAAATTCGATCAAAATTTGGCACTCGGTTTCGGTCATTGAAATACCTAATAGCCGTTAAAAATATCCTTTTTAGATTCTAAGACAATTTTTGTTGAATATTATTAGCGGGAAATTTATTTTTGCCATCATAAATGTTAAAACATCTTAATTTTAACAAGTGATTGAATATTATTTTGATAAACAATTGATGGATGGACATGAATGTTTTTAACAGCATGTTTTTCACACTAAAATTGTTTTTCAAAGCTGTGGGTTTTTTAGTATTCAGCCTTCGGCTGAATGGTGGATCAACTATTCGGCATTTGGCCAAATTCATTATTCGGTGCTCTTTAATTTACATGTGTTAAATATTTAAACAATTATATTGAAGGTTAACCGCTAACCTTTTCTATCACGTTAGATTTTATTTTCTTACGGGACATAACATTCACAACAGCGTATTCTATTAACGATGCAAAGACAAAAATCAAACAGCATATCATCCAAACGTCGATAGCCTGTTAATAATAATATTAACAAAGCAATTACATAACAATGAAATTATGATGGGATATATATTGTTATAATCGTTACAAGTATTTAATTAAATATGAATTAAACAACAAATTTATTCTTAACTATAACATTAAACAAGAATAATAATAATCTGAGAACGTACAGTTTAGGAATAGACACAAAATAGACAACGATAAATAATCTGAAATATGATCATATTTTTTCAGATCATAATAAATACGAATAAAGAAGTAAAAATAAAATAAAAGTTTCGTTATCGAAATTATTCCAGTTATTAGTTAAAAAACACAAGAATTCACTAGACACGACCGTTCGGTTCGCCATTTTTTTTATATCATTTTTTTTATATCTATATTTATATTATTTTTATATACATATATATATATATATATATATATATATATATATATATATATATTTACAATATTCTATAAATTCTACCGAATGTTTGGCGTTAATATGTTTGTAGTTCGTTTTTTTGATTTTTCTCACTAAAGATATTTTGGTGAACGTTTAGTTTATTCAAATTCAAAATAAACTTATTTTTCGAATTCATGCTGCAAATAAGGCCATATTTCGATTCCGAATGAATCATCGTCAGTGCTCCTTGCTGTATATTTATGGAAACCATATATTTAATAATAAGGCCATATTGCGATTCCGAATGAAT